AAGGATCTTGGGATATTCTTTGCCAAGGATTTTTCCGTATCTCTACTTTAAAGACTGATCGGAGATTTTGAGCAACTGAAAGCAAGTTACACAAGGTAAATTATGATTATTGAAATATTATTAGCCTACATTAATTATCTACAAGATGAACAGAAATGCGTAATTACATATCACATAGGTACCTATTATGTATTTTCATAGCAATAATGCTATGTATGTAGATTATTTTTTTTGTAGATTATTTTTAAAATACAAATGAGGTATTAGATCATTTTATTTTCATTCAAGTCCTGTTTGATTTAATTCACAAAAGTCTTATGTACCTATATTTATGTTTTTTACATATTTTTTTTGGTTCCAGGTTTTGCGTGGGTTCCTGTTGTCTTTTTCCTGCTTCCAGTTAGTTAGTTTTACGCCCGTGAAGCTGTGACAACATTTATTTATCTTCATGTTTCTGTAAGTCAGTGCACTGTTAGTTTACTAATTCACTTTAACACAGCATCTCTGATGTTATTTAAATATTTTGATATTGATACCGTAGTTTATGTGTTTATAGCTCTTTAATTGTGTTGATTTGCATATTTACATTGTTCTAAATTCCAAATAAATATTTTGAGTAATTTTGTTGTATTATTTACTACTAGAAAGAGTAAAAAGTATATTAACCCTGATTTAAACCCCCTGAACAGCCAGCCATTAAAAACCGGAAACGGAAATAAATTTCATAAAATTGAAATTGTCATGTCTATGTCATTGTCTATGTCATGTCAAATGTCCCAGCCGCCATATCTGAAAATTAGTTACCCAGGCAGCCACGCTGTTTCCATAATTTAACATTGACTTGACACTTCTTCTTGTATTTATTAATTTATGGTTTATCCTACAACCAGTTTCCAACTAAAAGGAAATTGCTACACGCACACGGATGCAACTCGTTGTGAATCAATTTCAATCAGTTGGTGTAGCACTCAATTTAAATAAGTTACTACATACCGGGTGTTGCATCGTCGGACGGGACATAGGAAATCCCATGTAAATTTTAATGGGATCAATTATTGGCTTCCCTAATTATTTTAGAGAATAATTCTATTTAAGTTTATTGAAGAGCACTGAAACCCACATTCAAAAGAATAACTTTAGATATTTTTGATTAGCTAGTTTACGAGTTATCGCCGATTTCTTTTTAAATATTTCTCCTTACTTATGGCCCTGTATTTACTTATAAGCACCACTCAAGGTAAAAGATAACTGTCAAATGAAGTTGTTATTTCAGAATTTTCCTATTTAGTGCTTTATTATTATTGAAAACTCAGGGGGGAATAAATGGTCTAGAGTCAAGAGAAATGTGTGACGAAATCATCGCCAAGAAGCCAGAGAACTTCACCGCTGCATACGAAATCGACTACGCACTCGAAGCCACTCGAAACACTGCTGACGAAGTAAAGACTGCCGCTGTCAACCAGATACAACAAACAAGATTCGATACGAAAAACCTCCATTTCGAAGGAATGGTAATCAGCGACCAAACAGTTCATCAACACGCCGCTACCAGAAATCACCAAATCAAGCAAGGTCGTATCACCAAACAAATCAGACATCCAAAGACAATCAGCCAGTATGCTCAGGTTGTGGTGAAAATCACCCTCGAAGTCAGTGCAGATTCCTCAACGCCAACTGTCTCAAGTGTGGAAAGAAGGGACACATCAGCAAGGTATGTCGATCGAAGACAACAAGGGGTACAAATCATGTCACTGAAGATAAACAAGCAGAAAACATTGATGTAGTGCAGCTAGACTATGAGACTACTATGACTGGACTATGACTGGACTGTGACTGGACTGGACTATGACTGGACTGTTCCAATTACTAGAGGTAATTGGAACAATCCAGTCATCACCAAAGAAGCTGGTTGATGTCAATATAGAGGGAACCACTGTTAAAATGGAACTTGACACCGGCGCTCCTTGCTCCATAATGGCCAAATCAAAGGTAGCTACAATCAAACCAAAGTTTAAGTTACAGAAGACAGATCGTCACTTCGCTTGTTACACGGGTCACTGCATCAACTGCATTGGAAAGACGTCCGTCAACGCCACCATTGGTACCACCACTAGCAACTTATACCTCTACGTAGTTGAAGGAGAGTGTGAGACGCTACTTGGACGGGAGTGGATCTCTGAGTTTGCCCAAGAGATCAACTTTGAACGCCTCTTTGCAAAACCTGATCAATATCCCTGGAAAAATCTCAGGACCACCAGCGAAAATGCATTTGAAAAATGATACAGACTATTGTTCCAGAGCACCATTAACTTCTACAGTCAACATTATTCACAACTCTTCTTCATCACAAAGAGAAGAAGCAGAGGATTTCGACGATTTCGATTGTTTTGCTATACATCAAACTCAGCAACTACCAGTGAGAGCAGAAGCAATGGTAAAACAACCTTGGTAAGATCGTGAAAATTCTAGAAGATGGACAGGATTTAGTATATCACAACTTTAAAGCTTCCGAAGTTAAGTATACTCTAGCAGCCAACTGCTTGATGTTTGAGCATAGAGTAGTGATTCCGCCTTCTCTACGAGACACCATCCTCAAGGATCTTCATGTAGCTTACCTAGGCATAGTCAAGATAAAAGGATTGGCACGTTCTTTTGTTTTTTGGCCAAGCATAGAAGCAGACATTGAGAGACTTGCTAAGTCTTGCACTGCATGTGCAACACAAGCGCATGATCCACTCAAATTTCGTGACCACCATTGGGAGTACTCAAAGACACCATGGGAACATATTCATATTGATTACGCAGGTCCAGTAACCGACACGATGCTGTTAATCGTTGTCGACGCTTACAGTAAATGGGTTGAAGTAAAACCTACCACTCTTACCACAGCAGCTTCAATAATCGCTATTATACAACTTCTTCACAGCATATGGTACACCAATCACTGTTTTTTCAGATAACGGTAAACAATTCATTGCAGAAGAATTCAAGACTTTCCTGAAGAATAGTGGAGTGACCACAAACTATCAGCACCATATCAATCACAAATGGACAAGCGGAACGGTATGTGCAAACAGTGAAAGACGCACTATACAGGGTGCTACAAATTCGAGGTACGAGCATTGGTATCTCGGAAACCGTAATAGATACGAAGATGGCTAAATTGGGGCAAAGTTGCGCTTTAGGATGTTCACCACGATGCCATCAAAAAAGTTTTAAAAATTTCAAGGATTGCTGAGTTTTTTCAAACCTGGAGACCGAACCAGGAGACCGAGTTCTTTCAAAACCTGAAATAAAAACTGCAGGTCCGTATTTAAAGAAATTAAGTTGGCTTCTGTATCTCACTCAATTATCAGCTAATTTGAAAATCTAAAAATACTATCGGTTAGCCCTAATAAAGTAGCTATGAGAATGTGCAATTAGTTTTTTGATTTTCTAAAAAGTAACGACAAGAAAAAATAAAATTTATTTTCAAAAAAATCAGTTTGTTCCAAAAAACTCAGCAATCCTTGAAATTTTTAAAACTTTTTTGATGGCATCGTGGTGAACATCCCAAAGCGCAACTTTATCCCAATTTAACCATCTTCGTATCTATTACGGTTTCCGAGATACCAATGCTCGTACCTCGAATTTGTAGCACCCTGTATACTATGAAAACTACGAAAGCAACACTACAGAGTAATCTTAACCAATTCCTTCGACAATATCGCAAAGCACCACATTCTACCACAGGACAGTCCCCCGCTCAATTGTTTTTAGGACGAGACCTTCGCACTCGCCTCAATCTACCGAGACCTAACGATATATCAACGGAAGTGTTAGAAAAACAACGAGCTGAAATCAACTTTTCGCACGTTCGAAGAGGGACAAAGAATGTATTTCCTATCTGGAAACCAGAAGCTCGACAAATGACTCCCTGGGACAATTTCTAAACGAATAGGTGATCTCCACTATAAAATCAACTATGAAGATAAACAAATAAGACATCATATTGACCAAATAAGTATATTTCAAGGACCAATAGAAGTGTCAACAAATGATCGTCAACGCCATATTCGATATTATGAAGAACCACCAATTGTACCAGCTACCAGAACATCAATTCGTGAACCAGAACCTCCAGTGATACCAGAGAATACACCTCACACTCCAATGATACCACGAAGATCAAATCGAGTAATTCGTCCACCACTGAGATATTCACCAAATTGAAAAGAGGGATGAATGTTACATATTTATCGTAGTACCCCTCCATCTGTAAATACCTGAAAAACTGTCAAGCTCATGTCATAAGTTTAATTTTGAATGACTTAATTTGTAATTCTGAAAGTGTATTTTAAATAAAAGTAGAGTTTTAGTGTACTTTATATATCTATAAAATCCTCAAGAAACATAACAGATATATCTAGTCGAAAGCCTTCTATCTAAAAATACTATAGGCAAATAGATAGTTTCTCTTAGTGCATGTACCTATGTGATCAATCGTGCCGAAGCCGCTTCTAAAACCTGCTTGTTCTCGTGGTTGTGCAGCGTCTAGCGTGTTTTGTATTCTGTCGTTTATTATTTTTGTGAATATCTTGTATGTTACTGATAATATGAAATGATAATATGGGGTAGTCTAGACCTAGAGGTGTTTAAGAGCTGTGTTGACTTCTACTTATCAGGGTAAAAGTTTTTAAATATTGAAAAGAAAATTAAAATATTTTAATAAGTGATTTTGACTGATCGTGAAAGACAGCCAACACAAGAAAATAAAAGAGAGGTTTTAAAAATATAACACTCAAAACAAAGCTAACAGACTAATGAAAAACTACTCTTCTGAATTACTTGCACTAAAGGTGATTAAAAAAAAAACGTTTGTGTCTGGATATAAATATGATTAGTATGTTCTCCATTTATCAATGAACTATTTACCTATATCTTACTAGATGTAGATGTTTTTCTTAGTAAGGATAGAAAATTCAGAAATGTATTCGAGGTTAAATGAAAATGCACATAGGTACATATTAATTTTTTTATTAAATTTATTTACATAGTATCTAGTTCAAATATTAATTGTGATAAAAATATAGTATTATTATAAATAAATATGTTTATTAAGAGGGAAATTTAGTTAACTAGTTCCATTGGCATTCCAACTTCCATCTCCTGATCGATAAACTTTTTTCCTAATCATGTGTTTAGGAACGGTTTTTAAATCAGTTGCTTGTCCAATTTTTTCCATTAAATCTAAGAATGCTGTGGTAAAATTAAATCCGTAGTTTCCAAGTTCTGCTGTTTTATAGTCCCATGGAAATACATGATGGTAATTATGCCAACCTTCCCCATAAGCAAATATCGAAACGTAAATATTTTCGGCTGGTTTTATTGACCTTTAAATGAGATAAAAGTTAATTTCTTTATATGTATTAATCCAATACGAAAATTTACTTAAAAATAATTTAAAAATTAATAAAGGCATCGTATTATAGCTTTTTTCAAAGAAAATATTGAACAAAAGAAAATCCGCCTTAAAATTAAAACTAAGAATTTTGAATAACATTCGATACATTATCCATCATACACTCACCGGTACGAAAAACAGGCATTTTAAATTTTTTTTATGTGTTTTGAAGTTTAATATATTGTCATACATATATGTATTCTAGTCGGCCGATTTTGATTATTTTTAATTTTTTAAGCAATTTGTAGCTAAATTATTTGACTTTTTAGCATCTCTTTCTAAATTAAAAATGAAAGTTTCTATCTGTCAATTATACGAAGTGAAACAAAATGTTGATATTTTAGTGAAAGTTTGAAGCACCCTGTGGAATATGTTAACAAAGAAAGGAATTTGAAAATAATTTTCATCTAGTCTTTTCTCGATAGTTTGTTTTTTGATTCATCTCAATAGCTTTATTTTTATTGGAGATATTCGCTTTTGAATAAGACAGTAACGATTTACAGCAATTTTAGCATTGATTTTGGGTTCTGATCAACACACTTATAAAATAGTGTTTATTTTGTTTTTGTAATATCACTGTCATTGAAACGTCATATTATTATTGTTTATTAACGTTTACTTTAGTAGAAATGGTTTTAATTTCTGAAGTATAGGCTATTGTTGCTTTAATTGATCATGTAGAATGTAGGATGAATCTAATTTTGTGATACTACTTGTTACTTCATCGCTACAACGATTCGTTACACGCTCGAGGACTCACAGTCCAAAGATATTTTTTTTTGATGTAGAAGAATATAGAATGTTTAGAAGGGGAGTTAATCACCCCGACCTTATAGATCTATTGTGTGTTCCCCTTTTTTGAGTTATAACTCATCATACAGTATCAGGGCTTTAACAAAAGCCAGTATCTGAGACGGCTCCACAGAGGCCAGCTCTCCATCATCGACATCAGACGTACCAAAGTCCATGGCACGAAAGGTCGTCGTCTCGGCGCACTCAGTCATAATGTGTTCTGGTGTTTCCCCATTTTACCCACAGAATCTACATTCGCCGTTGTTTCTCAGCTTCAGCTTACTGAGGTGTTCGTTGAGGAGACAGTGTCCTGTTAGAAACCCCGTGACAAAGGAAATCCTTTGATTTTTCTCGGTCTAATTCTACTACCAAGTTCTAATTGATCATGGTAGAAATTAACTATTGGACTTAAAACCATATTTGTTACAGTTACTGCCTAACAAACCAAATTCATATGTCAATCAAAAATCAATAATATGACTTTTCAAAGACAGTGACACTACATAAAATCATAAACACTATTTCATAGGTCTGTTGACTATAGGACCAAATTCCTTGCCGTGTTAACGTACTCCACAGGGTGAAACCCCAAACCAAACTTTCACCAAAATATCAACATTTTGTTTTGCCTCGTATAATTTACAGATGGCAACTTTTAATTTAGAAAGAGACACTAAAAAGTCAAATAATTTAGCTACAAATTGATTAAAAATTATCAAAATCGGTCCACTAAAACATAAGTAACAAAACTTTAAAACATGAAAATTTTAAGGTGTCAAGATTCTAGTTTCAATTAGGTTTACCCTAATTTAATATTAAGTTAGAGTAGAGTTATCAACATAACAGCGTTAAAATGACCAAAATCACAAAACAAATAGATGATATTTAAGTGCTATTTATACTTTATTGGCAAGTTAAGTACCTACCTCAGCTGATTTTGAAGAAAGAGAAAATATTGAATATATATTTTCAATTCTTTATATTGGAAAAACATTGTAATTTTCATAATTTTGGCCTTAGTGCTAACTGTATATTGTCTTAATAGTAGAGTACTTTAAGCCCTTATGGGATACAAACCTCAGAATTCATTTACTGTGAACGAATTTTTATAAAACTTTTTGCATTGTATTGTTAATAATATATATTAAAAAGTTTACCTATTTAAATTTGTTGCTATCACTTTAGTATTTAAATAAACACACATATACAAATGCATACATACAAGATGGCGCCGTATTCCGGAAAAGTTCTGTATCAGTATTCCTATTTGAGATTTTCACTCCAAACCTTTTACAAAATATATGTTTATTGGTAGTTCACATTTCAAAAATATTTTTATAGATATACAGGGTGAGTCAAATATATATCATTTATTTATCCGAGTTCAGTGAATTTGACCATAGAGTATACTAAATGGTCTTTGAATTATGAGCACGTCCATGAGGACGTCAATCTAGACGTCCAGGAACCTTCGTATGAGAACTTCTATTCGAGACGATCGACTCATTGTAAGTTTATCGTTAATAAAGCGCCGTTTGCCAGCTTTTCAAATTGATAATGAATTGCACTTAAGGACCGTACACATTAACTAACGAACTACAAGAAAAAGATTAAATGAAGCAAATCTTATATCAAGAAGGCCTGCTTCGGGACCAGAACTTACTAGATGTGTTGACTAGGCCCAAAAGCAAAGGCATGATCTTAATATAAGTTGGTGCATGGTGTTAAAATAAAGAAAAAATGTTAGTGCCTTCTTTAAAACCGAATATTTCCAACAAAAATAAAGCTAATGAGATTAACAAAAAAACAAACCATAGAGAAAGGATGTATCTAGATGATAAAATGATTTTTAAATTTTTTGCTTTTTTAACATATTTCACAGGGCGTTTCAAACTTTCACCAAAATATCAACATTTTGTTTTCCCTCGTATAATTAACAGATGGAGAGTTTAATTTTTAATTTAGAAAAAGATACTAAAAAGTCAAATAATTTGGCAACACACTGCTTAAAAAATCATCAAAATCGGCCTATTAAAATAAAATATATTAACCTTTAAAATACATCAAAATTTTTAGGTGCCCATTTTTCGTGCCGGTGAATGTATTTCAAAAACTATACATTTTAGTCATATACTTTTCTAATAAAACAAACCTTTATTTTTTTACTAGAATCCAAAAATCAATTAACATATAGGGTGTTCCATTACAAAAAACATAACTTTGATGTATAACTTTTTTTGGGGACACCCTGTAGAACTCTACATAATTTTAGAAAATGCTTTAAACTGACTTACATAAGCTTACAAAATTTCACTTCAATACAAATTTTTGTTCTCCACAACCCCTCACCGCGTTGTATATGACGCGCCACCCTTTATAATTCGATTTCAATCAAAATTTCAATGATTAGAATATAAGCAGAATAGGTATAGCGTATGCATTAGATTTATTTAATTCAATAAATTTACTTAGCAAAAGAATTAAAAAAAAATCAAAATATTAAGAAGGAAATAATTAAGAATTTACTAAAATTACTAAAATAAAAAATTAAAAGCAACAAAAAAAAACGGATAAAGATTTTAGTATTTTATCTATAAAACACGATACAGAAGGTTTCACATTAATACATTCACAGTAATTGAATTCCGAGGTAAAAGTCTCGGGGCACTCCACTATAAAGATTTTTTCTAAATCCAGGAGCATTTAATTTTTCAAAAATGTGTTTAAAAGTTAACGTAAACAAGGTAACAAGGTAAAATGTGGTACTCATTTTCACCTATTTGGTTTTATTAATTTGATAAATTTAATCATGGTTTACTATATCAAAGTTACTATAGCACATTTTTTCTGGTTCTCTTGTCTCTGATATGAGTTAAGCAAAATGCCAGCCATGTAAAGGCATGTTGTCTCTGATAGGCCCTACCAGATTTACAGTAATGAAGAAGATGAGACTCTTTTAAGCATTCTTTAATATACATTCTTCAATCAACATAGGTTTAATCAAAATTTTCACATGCGGATCAAAAAGGAAAGAAGAAAAGACTATATTTATACAAATGTTTAACAAAAAAAGCGAAATCAAACACTTAAACACCACAATACACCAAAACACTTTTATTTTTACACTGGACGCGCGTTTCGCTAACCATGTTAGTATTCATCAGCAAATAATTAAAAACTAGTTCATAATCATCTCCTGATGATGCTAACATGGTTATTTAAAAGTGTTTTGGTGTATTCTGGTGATTGAGTGTTTTATTTTGCTGTGTAACACCAAAGGTTCCAATTCCCAACTGTAACACATCCTTAAGTTTCAAATATAATAAGTTATGGAGTTTGTTTGCTTTCACAGTGGTGGCTCATGGTAAAAAACTTAATGTTAAGTCCAAACCACTGTCAAAAAAATTCTTAATTGGTAACCGGTTTCGGTAATTCTAGCCATCATCAGACTTTTGTCAAAGACGTGTTTTTGGTGACGTGCGAATTTCTGTTGGTTTAGCAAAAAAAAACGTTTAAATATGTTATTATATTATTTAGTATAATGTTAAAATTAAAACACTAAATCACCACAATACACCAAAACACTTTTACTTTTACACTGGACGCGCGTTTCGCTAACCATGTTAGCATCATCAGCAGATGATTATAAACTGAGTATATAATCATCTGCTGATGATGCTAAAATGGTTAGCGAAACGCGCGTCCAGTGTAAAAGTAAAAGTGTTTTGGTGTATTGTGGTGATTTAGTGTTTTTATTTTGCTGTGTAACACCAAAGGTTCCAACCCTCAACTGTAATAGTATAATGTTGTTCTATGTATTAGTTATATTTGAATAGATATTTGGTTTACGTTGTTTGATGTAAATTTTAAGTTACCTATATTTTTTTCTTTGTTTCTTTGCATAATAATGTAGTAGATTTGCATCTAGTGGGGCAACTAGGGTGGGGGGGATTTTCAATAAAAATCTCTCAATTTTCTATCGATTTTACTTGGGAAAACCCTTGCTTTCTATTTTAAATCAAATCCCTTACTTTCTGATTGATAAACTGCACCATCATTGAACAAAAATTAGTCAGTACCGAAAGTACCAAAAAAAAAATGGAAATCCCGGTTCCTAAGAGGTGCGGTACCGATATT